ATATTATCCACCAGTATGCCAGCATACACTGTCTCCAATCCCAAGGGATGCTCTATCGATGTCCGTAGCAGCTCAGACCAGATGCCCTTCCTCACCGGCCAACTCCTCCTCCAGTCCTCTGCTCCATTAGAATTCTGAGTCGGAGGATTCAGATGTAGCGTCCATCTTACCAGATACGATGATCACCACACAATGTCCCAGCTCACCTGAGGAGTTGTATTAGACAATTGGGGAACTGATGGCGAGATTGGCGAGGTCACTGGAGATCGAAGCCCAGCACTGCTTCAGTCCCAGTACTGATAAGTTCTATAACATCGTCAAGAGAGAACAATCTGCCGCCATTATTTTGCCACTCATCACAACGCTCTGTTAGGCGATGATGGAACTGTGGAATTTCCCCAACCAGCTGCAGCCGACTTCATGGCGATACAAATCTATGTACCAAGTTTGTGAACAGGACATTCTGTTTCTCCTGTGTCACCCGAGGTTGAACTTGATCGTCGTGGAGCCATCTCATGGTGGCGAGTCGAGAGAACACACCACTCCTCATGACAAGGAAGGGCGGAAGATCGACATGATAGCCCGCCGTATTTACACCGCCACAGGTCTCGGGCTCTGGATCTCCAATTATGAGGTGATGCTGGCTTGCTACCAGTATTTTCTCATGCAAAAACTGGAGAATATTACAGCGTCACTTCCGCAGCAGCAGAGGGACCTGGCTCGCATCTTCACCAAAGAGGCGATGTAGGTGGCAATTCAACAACTCTCTATGGTGAGGCATCATGTCAATTTCAACTTGAGGGCCCTCATCGGTGCTGTAGCCCTCTGTCACCATGCCTGGCTCTGGAATTGCAACTTTCTGGATGAGACAAAGCACTGCATAGAGAACATGCCCTTTGACAGCTCGGGGCTGTTCAATGCCAGGACAGACCACAAGCTCAAGCCCATCCATAAATCACGCATGACAGCTTGTCGTATGGAAGTCCCCAACCAATCCAGACATAAGTGGTCTTGGTCCCATCCCTCCTACTGGTATCAACCTTACATGCAGTTCTCTGGCCGGCAGCGGTTTCAGCCTCGTCAGCAGCACCAAAAGCAACCACCACAGCGCTATCAGCAGAGCTGTCGTCATCCGAATTCTGATAAGCTCCAGCATTGATGGGCTGAGTGAACCTTTTCTCCTGTCCTGAACCCACCCTCCCCTCTTCCTTTTGGGGATCAACTGCAAAGTTGACTCCCCATTTGGGAGTCCATCACATCTGATCAGTGGATTCTATCCATCATGGAGCATGGATATAGAATCGAGTTTGATACTGTACCCCATCAGGACTGATCTGAAATATGTCTCCGTCATCAGTTCTCAAAGATGAAGTTCAGCAGCTTCTTTGTAAAGGAGCGATTCGACAAATCTCATGCTCCGAGGGGTTACACGGTTTCTACTCAAGATATTTTATGGTTCTGAAACGGTGATGGTGGTCTTCGCCCGATATTAGACTTACGTGGCATCAACAAATTCATCAAAACTAAGAAATTCCAGATGACCACCCTTCAAAGCATCCTTCCATTGCTCAGGAGAGGATTGGTTTGCTTCCTTGGACTTAAAGGATGCTTATTTTCATATTAGCATCCACCCGTCTCACAGGCGACTTCTTCGGCTTATGGTCGGTTCCGATCTGTTTGAATACAACATATTACCATTTGGACTGGCTACTGCTCCACAGGACTTTACTAAATGCATGGTCCTAGTGTGTGCACACCTCCGGCTTCAGGAATTCAAGTATACCCTTACCTTGATGACTTGGTTGATCATCTCCTCATCTAGAGAAGGCCTTCGATAGTCGAGTCAAACTACATGCACCCTCTTAGATGATTTGGGACTGTGTATTAATTATGAAAAATTATAATTTTTGTTCCTTCACAGATCATCAATTTCATCGGAGCTCGTCTCGATTCCAGGATCGCGAGAGCCTTCCTTCCTCAAGGACGACAAGAGAATCTTCGTGCATCCATTCGGCGGATCCACATGGACAGAACTGTTCCAGCACTGTCAGTACAGAAGCCCCTCGGACATATGGCTTCCATGGTCTCTGTGGTCCCGTACGCCAGACTACAGATGAGGTCCCTCCAACTCTGATTCAACGGCCTCTTCCAACCTCAATGAGATTCACTTCACCGGCCTCTTCATCTCCTGGCCTCCATTCTCCAGACCCTGTCATGGTGGACTATACAAAGCAATCTGTCTGTCGGCATTTCATTCCACCCACCTCATCCAGCACTGACTCGGTTCACTGATGCCTCCCTCACTAGTTGGGGAGCTCTGTGTGCCGGCCTTCGCACTCAAGGCACTTGGGACAATCATAAGATTGCCAAACACATCAATGACCTAGAGCTGCTGGCAGTCTTCAAAGCCCTTCAGTCATTTGAGAATACTCTTTGGGGCCAAGTTTTTCAAGTAGCCCCCAACAACATTTTGACTGTGTTTTATATCAACAAACAGGGCAGAACAAACTCTGCTTTCCTGGCTCATCTAGCGATGAGACCGTGGGACTGGTGCATTCCAAGGGAAATCACCTTCCTCGCCGTTCACCTAGCTGGTACTGACAACGAGGAGGCGGATGCCCTCAGCAGACAGTTGTCGATGACTCATGAATGGGAGTTGGATCGTCAGGTCTGTCATCACCTTTTTCAGACCAGGGGCCCTCTGGACATAGACCTTTTTGCCACTCACATGAATACAGTCTGCAAAGCCTATTGCTCCCGAGTGGGCATCAGTCCGGGTTCGAGAGGGGACACTCTAATGATCCCATGGACGAACACATTCTTTTACGCATTCCCCCCAATACCACTCATCACAAGAACTCTCGCCAAGATCACCTTCAACGAGGCTCAGGGAATTCTTGTCACTCCCTGGTGGCCTCACCAACCCTGGTTTCCTACAGTTCTCTGTCTGTCCGGCAACACCTTTCAGCAACTACCTCCCATACCTCATCTCATAACTCAACAGAATGGGGCGGTACGCCACCCGGACCTTCATTCGCTCAATCTAACAGCCTGGTTCATTCGATAAATCACACTACTCCCTCAGTACCAACGGCTCTCTCAGTCCCGACACCAACCCAGCAGTGTCCGGACACAGCCGTTCATCCTCCCTCGATACCGACGAATGCTTCATCGGATTAGAGTGCCCTAGATCCTGATATTCAATTCATTCTCCAGTCTGTGCTAAGACCTATGACTCATCACTCGTATGCAACTAAATGGAAACGTTTCACATCTTTTGCCGAAACCAAACACTTTACTGCTCATTCAGCCTCTATTGAAAATATCTTCAATTTCTTCTATCATTACACCAGACTGGACTCAAACCTTCATCCATTAAAGTTTACATCGCCACAATCTCTCACTACCGTGGCCAGGTGGCAGGCTCATCGGTATTCTCTAACGTCCTTATTCGTCGATTCATTAGAGAATTACAGAATCTCCAGCCACTGGTTAGGTCAGTTGTTCTGACGTAGAGCCTCTTTGTTGTCCTTCAATCGCTCACCAAGCCACCTTTCAAGCCCTTGGTGACTACCGACTTACATCTCTTGTCATGGAAGACTCCCTTCCTCATTGCTATCACATCAGCTAGAAGGGCCAGTGAACTCTGTGCACTCCATGTAGACCCTCCTTATTTCAATTTCTACAAGGAGAAGGTCGTTCTGCGTACTGATCTGGCATTCCTTCCGAAAGTCGTGTCATCCCTCCATGTCAATCAGGACATTATCTTACCAGCCTTTTTTTCCTACTCCGTCTACGCCCGTAGAGCGCTTGCTACGCTCCCTTGACTTTAGTCAATGCCTCGCCTTCTACAGGTCTCATACAGAACCTTTTTGCAATACCAGACGTCTTTTCATCAAGTATTCTGAACATGACAAAGGGTCTCCCACTGGGTCCCAAAGACTCTCAAAATGGATTGTTCAGACCATTGAACTGGCCTATCCACTTTTTAAACTAGACTTACCTGTCATGCCCAGGGGCTATTCCACGAGGGCTGTTGCGGCTTCTTCTGCTTTTTCTGCTGGCATTCTGCTCCATGACATTTGCAAGGCGGCCACTTGGACTACCCCTTGCACATTTGCCAGACATTACCGCCTTGATGTGCATTCCAGACAGGATTGCTCCTTTGGTCGCACAGTCCTTTCTTCTGTTTTTCAGTGATGACACTGCCCCGCCTCCGGGTCTGGTAAGCTTGCTAGTCACCCATATGTGTGATGCACAGAGGCCACGACAAAGAAAGACAGGTTGCTTACCTGTAACTGTCGTTCTTTGAGTGACCATCTGTGCATTCACACAACCCACCCGCCGGCCGCACTCAGTGTTGGTGACTGGGTTTCTATGGTATCGTGTTTTCACTTGGTTACGGATCCATAGACTATATCTATATCTATATCTATATCTATATCTATATCTATCTATCTATCTATACACACACACACACACACTTACCTTTACTGTCTTAAACACGTGATGTGTAATAATTTTTGCTTCTGCCTGGGGGCAAACGCTTGGTCTTCAGTAGACTGAGGAAATGGTGGGCACTCCTCCTTCTTATACTATGGGGGGAGGGGTACGGAGTTCCCGCCAAAACCGTTAAGCTTTTAAATATTCCTGGCTACAGGCACTGCACAGGCGCAGCACCCATACATGTGAATGCACAGATGGCCGCTCGAAGAACGACAGTTACAGGTAAGCAACCTGCTTTTTCAGTTTGCCTAAGGATTATTTCAAATTTGCAAAATTTTATATGGGCCTTCCCACTGCTCAAAAATAGTGGTTAAATCCAGCATTGTGTGAATGGTTTTTCACACCTCCCCCAAATCTGCTGCTGGAGGTCCTCGACTCCAGCATAGATTGAGGGGGCTGCAGAGGGAGGGGAAATTGCCACACTGAAATTAGCAGTTAGACAGACACCACTGGATTTCACTTTGTATTTTAATTATGTTCTGGTTCTTCCATAGGCCTGATAAAACAGATGACTGTAATAGAACCTGGCACTTCAATATATCTGAGCTTCAGGTATGAATCAAATGAAAATATTAAATCCTGCGCATGGTTAAATTTGTTTGCTTTATCACCATTTTTTTCAGTCTGTCAATTGTTACTCAATATAGAGATGTTTTTAATTTTCATACAATGCCTATATTGTCCATTCCACGATTTGGAATACAGGCAGTCCCCAAGTTGTGAAGGTTAGAGTTAAGAACAACCCATACTTACAAATGAACTGACATACAGCATATTAATTTTTTTAAAATACTGTGGAAAATCATCATCACCCTGGAGAAAGAAGAAGCCAAAGGGGAGAGAGGGAGGGCCTCCAAAGCATCACCATAGACAGAGAGGAAGTGAAAAAGGAGAGAGGGAGGCCTCTGAAGCATGGCTTCCTGCCCCACCTATTTGGAGAGGGAAATCTCTCCAGCATTTCTTTGCTGCAAAGAGGAGACACTGGTGAGTTGGTGCAGGGACACTATAGATATTCGTGGTTTTCCACTTTCATGGAGGTATTGCACCCCCAAGCCCCATGAATGTGGAGGGATGACTATATGTGATCAGACTTACATAGAATTTGACTTAAAGATGAATTTCCATTTTCTTGGGAACAGAACTCATTCGTAACCTGAGAACTGCCTTCAGTTAATAACGCTTTGAAACATGCTTTAATTCAACCCTCCCTAACTTAATGATTTCTAGACATTTTGGACTACAACTCCCATCAGCCTCAGGCATTGCCAATGGCTAAGGATTATAGGAGTTGAAATCCAAGACATCTGGAGAACACCAGGTTGGGGTAGGCTGCTTTAAAAGTATTTTATATGGATAATTGTGTTAAGAAACATTTGTATCATTTGGAGGGCTTTTATTCATAGGTTGCCATAAGTTGGAGATGACTTGATGGTACATCACACAGACAGACAGAGTTGTGTATAAAATTATAATACAAAATATTTGGGGATTACTATAGCCTTGTATTTCTTTAAATGTTGCCATTAAAAGCCATCCAAAAATATCTTAACCTGCTTCTGGAAACTATTCAATGAAGATTCCATGGGAAAGAAGGATCACAAAAAGTTGGGGGAAGGGGGGCAACAGCCAACTGGTAGAGCACAGGCTTTGATGCTGCATGTCCCAGCTTCACTCCTTGGTATTTCTACTTTAAAATATCAGATAAAGGTGATAGGAAATATCTTTGCTTGATGGCCTGACAGTCAGAGTGGGTGATACTAAGCTAGATGGACAAAAGTCCTGTTCCTACTATAAAACACCTTCCTATGTTTCTATAAGGGTTCAACAACCTCATTACATAAATGTAATGTTTTAGGTACATACTGTGCTACATACCAGAAGGAACTCTATTTATTCAGGTGATTTCTAGGTTACCAAATAATAAGTTTCTTCAGGCAGTTTATAATAAAGGATAAACCTTTCTAGGTTTGTTATAAGGAAGAGGATAGTTACAGATGTGCTGCAGGATTCGAGCCATTTAATGTTTTATACATCAAAACAAGCCCCTTGAATTGTGCCCAGAAGACAGTAGGCTATAGTGCAACACATCAGGCTGTTGGTTGTAATGAGCTCTCAGTATTGCCTGCTTAGTGCTAAGGAGTCATCCAGGAGGGGTCATGTCTCACCGCTGTCCAGAACAAGGCAGGGATCGTATTACCAAAAGTCTTAGTCTTGGTTCTGGCATCTTTGGCTCTTCCCTTTCAGTTTTTTTGCTATCTTTGCCCAAGTTAGAGCTTTTTGTTCATTCTCTCTCACTATCATGGTTTTATAAGTCGAAACAACTTCCTAGAATTGTGCCCAGAAGGCAGTAGGTGTTGGGAGTGAGAAGGATGACACTCTTGGGCAATTTTTCTCACATACTGCTGGCTGCATCCCAGACAATTTGGAATCGGGATGTGAAACCAATTACAGTGAGATTGGGGAGGATGGCTTAGGGCTAGGTCAAAATTCTGAGATGAAGGAGATGGAGGTGATTTCCCCAAGGTTAGACACCTTGCCAAGCCATCAGTTTCTGGGAACAACCAAGATGTACAGCCAGTGACAGGGATCCCTGAAATGAGACCAGCCCCCCCCCCCACAACCCCATGGTGAGGCATCAGCAGAGGCATGAGGCCCAATGAATGAGCAGCAGAAAGCCCTTCCTGAGTGGTTGTGGCTCAGGCATGTTCATAAGGAAAGTTTCTGGAGGTAAACACTAGATTGGGTTCAACAAACTGCTCTGTGCATGCTGAGAGATCTGTTCTGGGTGATTCGTACTTGGGAGCAATAAAGAAAGTTTGCAGGGAAGACAGTCTGTAGCAGGTGATTGCTCAAAGAAGGAACCTTGGCTCATTACAGTAGGCACTAGTGCAACACATCAGAGTATTGGTGAAATTTGTTCTCAGTGACCTGTGCCATCAGCAACCACCTGCCACCCCTGTGCTAACCATGAGGGTTCTGACCAATGGAAATGCATTGCATTGCATTGCAGGTCCACCCTGTGTTTATGAGGGCATGGATGTATTAATACAATTTCAGAAAGGACTTGTTATGTCTAAATTGTTTTTTCTGCAAACACCACCAAAGTTTGCAAACTGGCCCATTGCTTTTATCCTTCCCCTATCCACTGTCTCCCTAGTGGCTGCCTAAACTATTTCATCACCTTGAAAGAACATTCTAGCTGCTCGAAAGACATAATGCAGTTTCCCTATCTACTTGGGGACTGCTGTTCATCTAAATAGCAAAGAGCATCATTATGCTCCGCCAATTGGTAGAATAAATTTTGCAGAGAGATTGTATGCATCCATCATAGTGTCTTCTGCTCCACTGAGGACAGGAAAGTAAAGCCAAATAGAGATATAAGGATATAATTCTTTATTCTCTAGTAATGAATTTGCCCAAATTGCACAGTGCATTAGAGCCAGATCCCATATTCCATTATACTGAAGTTGTGAACATAGCATCATATCCTGTGCTCTGCAGTTTCAGTACATACCATGTACTCATATTGGGATTTCCTTTATTAACACCACTTTTTTCAGTAAAGTGGTGTTAATAAAGGAAAATAACCTAAGATGATATTAGGCTCCAACACCTAATAATATATGAGGCCCTAAGCTGAATACGAAGCAGCTTACAGTTTATATAACACCTCTGTGTATTGAGAATAAATATATATCACACTACCAAAAAAAAAAAAAAGGCCTTGACACACTGTGCCAGAGAAGCATGAACCACTAATGCTGATGTAGACTGGAGGTGTTTATACATAAATCAGGGATCCCCCTCCCCTCCCCCCAGCCGGGCCACATCCCAAAAATAACATAGAAGAGGCAAATCACTGCTTGCCCTTTGATACCACATCCTAAGTGTTTGCACATGGTCCAGAGTGTAATAGTGGCATAACCCTGGGCTAGCTGAGAGTTTAATATAGGGTTTGCTCTCCTGTCAGTGGGCAGAACTGGACAGCTCTGCACCATAGCCTGGCATAGGGTTTTTATCACAGTGTGTGTGCTTGCTCCACAACATATACATTGAGACCTTTATGTTGTCTCGGGCTGTATGTTCACCTCTAGATTGTGCAGTGCTGCTTTTTAGTTTGATAGGAATTTTTTTGGTCTAGGATCTTATGGAAGACATGAGGGAATATTGGCCAGATGTACTTCATCCTAATCATACCTATTTCTGGTGAGTTACGCCCTTTTTCAACTTGGTTGCTGCTTTGGAAAATCAACTGAAAATGTTCTTTCAAAGTAGAAAGAATCTAGCTTCCAACTGGAATAGGAAGTGAATAAAATATAGAGCATATCTTTGAAGAATGAGTCTGATTCTGTTTTACTGCCTTTTTCACACGCAAAATTTTCTGTGTTTAGGTCTGAAGAATAGCTGGCATACTGTATTGGTCAAAGCAATCACTGTCCCAGATCCCAGAGTACAACATTCTCAGAGTCTTAAGTTTCTGGAACCTTAGATTCCATGTTTTGTATTTAGTGTCTGGTACATTTATTAATGGGAACAATCCATCAAACATATATGCTATGTGACATCTGTTGATTCTAGCAAGGAATCCTTTAAGGGTTTTCTAACCATGGTTTCGATGAAATCTACTTGCTTTCAAAACACAGATATGTTGCTTTACAGCTTTATTTTATTATTTTATTTCTTGGAAATCATATTAGGGTATTATTCAGTGAAACAATCTTTTGACTGCATCACCATTCAAATCAATTCAGTTTAACTTGCCACATGATTTTGATTGGGGCTATACTGAAAGAAGGCCAAACTCAAAATTATAGGGATCATATCACTGTCATCCAATGTCTTCATGGCAATGTCTAATAAAAGATGGCATATGACTTATCATTGTGTTCAGAATGCACTTTGCCTGCGCAAGTGGCAGCCAGTGCAACTAGCCCTGGGGTAAATAGGTGTGATCATGTCATGTCACATGTTGCTTTTTCGAGATGCTACTGAGGAGGCATCTGCCATGTTGGCAAGTTTGAGCCATAGTTGCAGCAACTCAGACATGATGCATGCAAATTGATATTGTGAGTCCAAAGGAGAAACCACAATGTTGCATAGCCCAGCTACCAAAATCAGAGAAGATGGAGAATAGGGAGTGCAGTTTGTTGTAATGTGCTCTGGTTTTCACTCAGCTCTCAAACTGCCTCATGAATCTGACTGAGAAAACACCATAAAAAGTAAATGCCTTGAGCACTGAACACCCAAACTCCCATCTCTTCTATTTTCCACCATGTTGTAAAGAGTTGTTTGTATTTTCCTAACTCTGGAACCTTGAAAGGAAGAGGTATCGACACAAAGCATCAGTGTTGATCCCTACTGAAGGAGGTATCTAGCAATTAACCTTTGTCTTTTCATGATGCAGTCAAGCTGGTGACATTGTCCTTGATATGTGACAAATTAAAATCTGCTAGAGATACGAATGAGACAGTTTTCAATTGACAAATGAAAACAAAGCTAGTTTTTCTTTATACTAGAGCTTTTGGGGTTTATGGTTTCCATAGTTTCCAGTTTCATATGAAGCACAAGAGGCGGAAATGCTGCATCTTTGCAGTGAAGCGTTCTGTGAGTTTCTCTCTTTCTGTAGCTGAGCTAGCAGGTACCTGTCAAACTGGAGATGGGTAGTGCTACTAATCCAAGCACTTTAAGAAAACTTCAGTATCACAGAAAATGTTTTCTTAAAAACAGGCAGATGATCAAAAAGAATTTAATGCACAGAGTTTGCCTTTCATCATGGGAGGAAGGGATGGAAGCATGAAGTCTAAAATCAGAATGTCTGTACATGTAAAATGTAAGACTGGATCCCTAGGATAAGTTAAGGAGGTTCACAAAAGGAAAGCATCTTGACCATTCCTCCCTGCAGCAACCTGTACTGCCCCAGAAATCCTTATCAGAGACTCAGGAGGATATCCTGAACAGTGTGGGATGGGCTGTTTATGAAGGATTCCCCAGTTTGGGGTCATTCTCTCCTCTTACAGAAGCCCCTGTTCTCCATCCCACATTGTTCAATGAACCACCCCCGGGGCGGGGGGGCTTCTCAGGGGACTGCAAGAAAGATGTGAGTTCAGGATAACTTTCCCTCCACAGCATCCTTAAATTCACATAGCCATGGAATGTATGTACATAAAGATGTACTGTTATTTCTGAATAATGGTAAGCGTTCTGTTATTCTGTTAAGAACACTAAAGAGGAGGAATCCTATTTGGATTAGAAATGCACAATACTGAAGGGACAGGACAACCAGGGTAACAAAAATGAACAGCTGATGCAAGGAATATAAAACCTTCCTCTTTTATATTCCTTTTTATATATTTAAAAAACCTACTCTGCTCAAGCACAGCTCTGTTGTACTAGATTTGATATTATTAGTCTACTGGAAAAGGCAGGAACTGAGGAATTCTAGTGACAGATCCTGGCAGTACATGAATGGTATTGGATACTGCCCATTACTTTATTCCTGTATTTTCTTTATAATTAATTCTTGGAAGAAAGGAGACATACTTTTCTTTAATTCATCATCCAAAATGCTGCACTATGTATGATAAGGAAATGGAGGGATTTTTTCCCTGTACCCCTTTCCTTAAATGTTATCAGAACTGCATTTACGGAAATAGGCATTGTGGCCAATCTTTTCTGAGTATCGTGTGATACGGAGAACAATCTATATGAGAAGAAGCTATATCGGTGGCCTAATTGGGCACACATTTGAGATTTTCTTCTGAAATTTCAAGTATAATATGTTACAGAATATCTTGTACATCCTGACTGTGTTTGTGTTTAGAGATGTAATTAAACATTTTTGTTTGTTTATTTTCTTCATATAGGAAGCATGAATGGGAGAAACATGGGACTTGTGCAGCAACACTGGAAGCACTTAATTCTCAGAAAAAGTACTTTAGTAAAACACTGGAACTCTATAAAAAGCTTAACCTTAACAAGTCAGTATACTGATTTTTTTAGAGGTCTCTACAACATGCAGGGCTTCTATAACTAACAAGTAGGAGTTTTTCAGCAGACAAATTAATGAAGCAATAATTTCCTGAAGATGAAAACTTTGAAAAATCACTGATTTGGGAGCAAATGCTTTCACCTAACCTAAAACTGGTCTTTACTGCTCCTTATTCCTGTGGTTGTGAACTTCAGTTGCCAGTGAGATTCAACTTTAGTAGAATCATAAAGCACTACTGGTGAAATCCTGTTGTGATGCATATAAACCTCCAAATTTAAGGGCATCCAATGCAGAGCAGCAAGAGTGGCAGGAGCAATCACTTCCCTTTCCTCCTGCCCTGCATATTTTGTTAGATAGGCTTCTTTGCCTGTCCAGCTGGAATTTTTCAGAGGGGGAGAGCAGGAACTCATATCTTGGCCTTTCCTTCCCCTCCTCATGCATCAGAACACCATCCTCCCCGTTACTTTCCTGACCTCAGAGAGCAGCTGGCATGGTTCTAACTCTCTCTCTCTCCATGCTGGCTGCAAGGGGTGGAGATGGGGGTCACTGCTCTGATTTCTAGTTTCAGGGTTAGAGCTCTGTCTCCAACATCAGATATGGAAATCTGAAATATTATATGACTTCTCAGAAGCTGTTCATTGGCCTTAGGATTTGTTCCCTAATTCTAATTCTTAATGAAGCAACTATTCTGTTACTGTTAGAGTAACCACTAAACACAAGAAATGCAGCTATTGTGGATCATAAATGAAATGTCATTATTCTTCGAAGTATCAATCCAAATGAAAAGGAAAATATTGGAGGGGAGATGAAAGAAAAAATATGGAAGAATAAGTTTGGAAAGATAGACTCTCAGCTAATAGAATCAGAAGTGCTGTGTGCACATTTGGTTCATATGGGTTTCTACTTGCAGCTCTTGCATCTTGTTTTCATCCCACACAAGCTATAACCTGGTTTACATGTCACAGCTATCCATGGATTAAGCAATGAAAGCAGGTGTGTGCAGCCATTGTCGAACAGAATAGTGGGTTTTAAGGGGTGGGGGGGGACCAAGTCAGACTTGTAACGCATGGTTTGTCCTGGGTTACAAGTTATAAGAACCCACTCTTCCATTGTAAGGTGTCACACTAAACAACTGAGAATGCAGCATCTGTCACTTGTTTAGCTCAGTGGGAGCAGGTGAAGGAAAGCAAGCTCACTCACTTGCTCTTGCTCATTCAGGGTTTAAACAAAACATGGATAGTAGCAGGCATACTGAATCTGATGCCCCCTCATCTGATGCTTCCCTCCAACTGGAGATGAGAAAGCAGTAAACTATCAAGGAAGATCAAATAAACCCTTGCACTTACTCCTTAAATAACCCTGAAGCCTTCAAGGAACCCTAAGTTTCACAGAACACAGTTAAAAAATTACTGCCTAAATAATTGGCTAGATAGTCACCATCATATGAATATAGCTATAGAAAATTCATTGGTAGCCATTCAGTTTAGTGGTTGTAAGACAATGTTACTAACAGAAAACAGAATTTAGGTGGCATGACCAAAACTTTCCATTCACATAGTCACTTGTGGCTTTTCCACCATATATGTGTAGCAGAAATAATAGTTTGTTAAAGTATGCCAGTAAGAAAAAGGTCATGAATGCATAGTGAAGTTTAACATTCCAACTCAGATAAATTCTACTTCTTCCAGTTTAATATTTTGCTGTCTAACCCTCTCAGGATCATGATTATTATCTGTCTATTGCATAATTTTGTGTGGTGAGTTGTGTCTGTGCTACATGAAAGGTCTCTCTCTTTCAGTTATCTGTTGAAAGTGGGAATAAAACCAGGCAGTACCTACTACCAGGTAATAAGAGATTTTACTTTGACTGTTCACTATCAGAAAAGCAGCGAAATTGTAACAATTTAATGCTACCATAAGACAAAATCGGTCTGTTACACTGTGAATTACAGGTTCTTTCTCATAAGAGCCTTGACTATGAAAAAGTTTTATTTGTTGAATTGATGTTTTTAGCATTTTAACTGTTTCATGTTTAAATCTTCAGATGGAAGACATCAGAAAAGCTCTTTTAAGTGTTTACAGCGTAATACCAAAGATACAGTGTCTTCCTCCAGAAGAGGTATCTTTATTTGTGATTTCTTGGCTAACCTTTCTTTTCTTTTCTTTTTTTGGAAATACGTTTACAATTTGGAATCCTGAAGGAAACAAATGATTTGGAATCCTGTTTAAGCAAAGCCTTTTTGGAGATTTGTATCCATTGTGCTAACTTTCCAGCATACTCTCCTAGTTTATGAAAATCTGTTAAATGTTTTTTCAAAATATATGAGAGAGATGCACTCCTCAAAAATCAAAAATCTAAACTATTTTCAATGAATGTGAAGCTTCACTAATGTAATGTGAAAGCTTCTTGGTGAAAAATCTATTAGAGCAACTGTACTTCAAAAATTGTTAAGTGAGGGTGGAATTTGCACCCTTCAATGAATTCCAGATTTATGGATTTTCCTAGTACAACCTTGATAAAGTGTGCTAGCTTTCATTTCCTCTCTTCCCCAAAATATTTAACATCTAGTTATCTCCTCCTTGTTCCTTCTCTGCCTTTTCACTAAATAAAAAATTATCAGTTGTATTTGATACATCCTATTAAATTATGTTCTCAGAGGCCAGACCAAAAAATACAGTTTTTCCAAAGCCATGTAATTAGGTGGTGTTTGTTTGTTTGTTTGTTTGTTTGTTTTTGGCTGATCTAACAAAAAGATGTCATCCCTAAGACTGGCCAATGTAAACATTAATGGAGTCTGAGTTGGCACAAAGGAAACAGATCTTGAATGTGATAGGTAGTACAATGGAGAAAGTTGAACCTTTATGTAGCTGTCATACAAAAAGGGGGGGCATTAGGAAAAGGATCAAAAATAAAACTGTTGGTATTGCCTTTTAGACAAGATTATCTTATGATCACATTTGGAACACTGTGTACAGTTTGGATTACTGTATTAAAGAGGATATTGTAGAACTGAAAGGGGTACAGAAAGGACAACCTCAATTATTAGAGGCCTGGAACAATTCCTCTCTGAAGAGAGATTATGACATTTGGTGCCTTTTAGTTTAGAAAAGTAAAGAAGAACAAGGTAGAAATATATAAAAATATGCATGGTGGGGGGAAAGTGAGTAGGGAGCTTTCTCTCTTTCACCTAATAACAGAAGCTAGGGTCTGCATGCTGCATGGTGGATGGAGGAAGATTTAGGACAGATAAAAGGAAGTACCTCTTCCCTCTTCACGTAACTAGATAACTACATGTATTGGTGACCACCAACTCAGAGCTTTTGCTTTCACAAATAGGGTGAGTCAGAGATGGAGTGGGAAAGGAGACCTGTAGCTCTTTGACCTTGCACTCATCCCAGGTAGAATTAAGCCCCCAACCTATACCTGCTATTTGCAATTATTGGCAAACTCCCCCTGGTGCCAATGGGAACTTTTCTCTCAATGGAATTAGTAGGCTCAGTTCCAGTCAGGACTGCAGTGGGGTTAGAGCCCCTCTTCCCTCACAACCGTAATCTGGCTTCCTGGCTGTGATGCCTCAATGCCTTCGGAATGGTATAAGACAAATGACAGGACATGTTACTAGTCATGATGGTGAATGTGACTTCCAAGATGAGAGGGTAGCATAGCTTTGACTTCCAGTTGTGGAGGAATAGCAGCAGGGAAGGGATGTTTCAGTCATGATCTCCTACTTATGGATTCCTAGAGGCAACTGAGGTATGTTAAGCTGAGAGATAGTGACTGGCCCATGACCACTGAGTTAGCTTCATGACTAAGTGGGGGATTTGAATCCAGGTAACCATGATCCCACTCCAACACTCTAGCTATTATACCACATTGGCTCTATATAAGAATATTTTATATGGAATTGCAGCAGTATCTAGTGATGCCTGTATTGTCAGGGATGATAGATCTCTTTCCCATTTTCACATGCTTTAGCTAGGCACTAAAATAAAATTTCCTTGGTTTACGTTCTAGCCTTAAGTGCTTTTCAGAGTGCATTGATTATAGCCAACTGGAAGATTTCTTTTAAAAGTTATTTCACTGCATGTTACTCCTTGGAGATCTTGAATCAAATATCATCAAACTGTAGATAGAGGCACATACAAGTCAAAGCAATTTTTCTCTTTCTTACTTAAGGTTATTTGGCTCTTTTAGTCAATAATTAATTGCTGATGTGGTCATAATAAGAGATTGTAGTGTGTTTTTCAGTGCGGATGTTTCGTAACCTGGTGCTCATTTATTTATACATACATACTTCCATTTATATGCTGCCTACTACCTAAGTCCCAAGTTCTTCTTGTAGAACATTTCATAACAGAGAGCTGCTCTCCAGTCTCAGTTCCATAAGACCCTAGGATTCAGTAAGATGTTTTGTTCTCCCTTGGGCAAATTAAAGATGCTTCTAAAACTTAGTATGTGCCACCAAAATAGCTTGATTTTCATAGGAACGATGGACATGACTCTTCCTTTTCACAAAGGCTTTTGTATTGAAGATCTGCTTTCTAAAAGCCCTTTGAATGACCCCAAAGCATGAAGTTGGGTCCTCAGGGCTGTTTCAGGCATGTGCAAGAGTTTGCATTCAATCTTTGGAACTGCTAGGGCATGGTAAGTTAGATCATGCACACAACACCATGTGTCACTTGGTATTGCTCTACAGTTTGGAATTCTAAAAGCCCAAGGGCCAAATTCAGTTTTGGAAAAGCTCTCTCAGAGGACCAGATTGGGATCCTGCTGGGCTGGATTCAGCCCTTAGGCCAAAATTCAAGACCCCAGTCAAATAAACTTTGAAGTCAACTGTTTGAGATACACATTTTCAGAGACTTTCCTGGATACAAGAAACTGTTTTGGATTGAGACTTTAGCTCTTCATTCTTTTTTGGGTAACTATTTTAAACTGTATGTTCTTTTTAACACAAATAAGGAATTTTTTATTGAAGTCATTAGAATCATTTTTCACCTGTAATAAAATTTTTTAGAAAGGATTTTCGTTCCATCTGGTGGACAGAGATGAATGCATGTTAAAGAAGTACATCACTTCCTTTAAAATATTCTGCTTTATCAATATCAAATAACAAACTTATGTATTAACATACTTATTGATTAATCTCTAGGAACAAAATAATTGATTAAATGTAGCTTAAAATAATTAATCATTGTGAATTTTTAAGGATATTGACTTCAAACATTGCCCATATTTTTTTCCACTGCAGAGGAAAAGCAGTTGTAGGAGGTAATAAGGAGCAAAGTAATTTCATCATGGTTACTGATGCATTTTAGTATCTTGGCCATCTTGACAAGTTAACAACTTTGCAAGTAAATGTTTTCTAAAATGTTCAATACACAGGGTATTCATTTGATTGTATTTTTATAACTGTAAATGCAACCTGTCTCTAGATGCTGTAGAAAGCTCTTAAAGTTTATCTAGCTGATTAACCCATAGCATTTCTTTATAGGTTTTCTCTATTTCTTTTCCCCCCTTGTAGCTAGAAATATATGTAGAGGCCTTTTAAATTTGAAGCTCCAGTTTTGCTTTATTTTTCCTTTCCAGGGTCAACTACAAATACTTGGTCAGATTAAATTCTGTCTCACCAAGGAGTTTACGCTGAGAAACTGCACAGACTCAAAGGACAACTTTTACTATGAAGATGACTTCTTTCATACGGAAGATCTGTCAAACTGCAATGATACTTTGACGTATTATCCTTTACATGTACATACTCAGTCATACACCTCTGCAAATGGTACTAAAATTTAGCAAAGTATGCAATGATGTTTGGTGGGGAAAAAACCTCTTCTTTTAACTCAAGAATACTGTGAAATTTCATTTGAAATTTGAAATGTTTAAGTTCTCTTTCCTTCGGATGTATCATGCACAAATGATAATAGTGGTATCAAAGAGCATTCGTTTCTGTGGACTACCTCTTTTCATTTGTACTACTAAAGTGCCATTACTTCTTTGTTTTTAAAGCAAAATTTATACATTTTAGTTTTTCATTCTTCAATTTGAGGAGTTCTAAATAGTCTTACCTGTCAGTGATTCAGTAAAGCAGACTTGCTAGATGATAGGTCTCATGTTTTTATATAGTAATTTTATGTTTCAGAAAAAGCATGAAACTTTTTTTTCCAAAGAACTTTGTCATTTCTGCTGTTTGAATACTGGCACCAATGAAGGCTCAATAACCATATTGCTTCTTCCAGTGATTTTTTTTGAGGATTGTCCCTTTCAAAGTAATTCACTGACCTAACTGTACCCACAACCAGAGTGAGTGATCAGTGTATTCCCTTGAAGCAGCAAACACCATGTAGTAATCAGCTGGTAGACTAGCAAGCTACTTCTAATTGCATTAGGAACGGCGGTAATGCACAGCTTGTTTTCTACAAAGTATCATCATTGAAATGAATGTAATTGCTCCTGAAATTACTGTTCCAAAAACATGCCTACTACCTTTACAGTAATACTAGGTTTTGGCCTGAGGCAGATTATCAGCTCTTATTTGTTAAGAACCTATATGTGTTCTTTTCAAAGCCTTTGTTGTTAATTCTGAAAGTATTCAGTGATTCCTTGCTGTGTGCCAAGACTCAGCCTTCCTTTTAACATCGAGACCTGATAATGGTATTATCCTATAAGAAGGTTCATCTCTAAATATTATACGGTAGCAATCTGCAATATTGTAGTGTGTGACAACTCCTTTTCCATTTTTATCTCCTAGTTTAAGGTTCTTAATTGCATTATTTGTAGCTTGTTGAACTGTTGCAGGCTGAATAAGAAGAGAACTGATAATGGTCTTAAGACATGTACCACCTAACTCCATTGTAGTGATTTATGCTGTAATTTTTTTAAAAATGAATTGCCAGAATCAATTGCAGAGGATGAAATTATTCAAACAAAACCTTGTACCTTCAAACCTTTTGCTTCTTTCCCAGTTCTATTTGTAGCCTGCATTTTCAGTTCTCAGTTCCATGTGTGAGTTTCAAAATCATTTGATATTATGTACTCTAATTTTCACAATCAAAACCAATTTGAAAAGATTCAGTGTTCATTATTTCCTGATAGACTTTATCACTTTTAAACAGATGGAGCAAAGGAAATAGCTGATACATGTGAAAAGCTGTTGAATACACATCAGCCACACTGTTTCAAGCAGCATTCATCTTGAGCATTGTCATATCGGGTGTTTATTTTTAATACGCTAGTGAGGAACAATTATGTGTTGCTTTTAAATCTATAATTTCAGTAAGCTACAATTGCCTTAAATGGAGCTCTGCACAGATACGATTTTTTCTCTGTATATAGCCCAGGACACTTTTTATCAAAAAAACAAAACAAAACAAAAAACTGTCCTTAAAATATGGTTTAATCTTGCTTCTCTGTAATAAAATTTATTTACTGTCATTTTTCTAATAACTTCTAAAATAAAATCCAATAACACACACTACAAACTGTCACCTGAGGGTGTTTGACAAATTTCTTTGGTACAAATTCTTGTGTTTCCCGTGGGCTTGGCCATACAAGTATTGTGATAGGGCCATCCCCCATAACTGTTTCTTTTCCAAAGGGGAAAGTGATTATGAACTTGGAGGTTAGAATCACTTCTATTCATGTCAAACATGAAAACATTAATAATAATGTGGCAAAGTGGGATAAAACAGTAGCTTGTTCTTTCCCAGATACGTGAACTGCCTATTCACATAGCTTCTATCTTGTTGGGATTCAGCAACAATTTATTGATACTCATCCAACACATTACCAATGCTATGTACCAGTTCCAAGCCAAATTCTGGGCACTGATGGGCCAGTGGGTATTTTCCAAAGGAAAATGTTTATATTTTTGCCATCCTTGGATGGGGAGATCACATCACCCATCTGGGGAAGGTACTGGCTGCTATTATTCCATATTCTGTTGCAAAGAGCATCAGCACCAAGCCAAAACAGAAATTTTGCAGAAATTGTTTTTGCAAGGAAGTACCACTGGGAAAATTCTGCTTGATTCCATGGCACTTGTCCTGGGTTGTTTCTTGCAGCAGAAGCAGGAAGCAGTACCCATGTTTGTTCTTGCTGCATGTCAAATGAATCTCTCACTGCTGCTGCAACATGGACCTGGCAGGCCCTCATAACCCCTCTGGACCTGGATGGAAACACTGCCACTTCTGCTGTTCCTGCTGTGCCATTCATCATCTGCCAGTCAAGTGGTGTAAGAACTTGGCCAAGACTGGCCACCCCGCCATCTCGCACCACAGCGTAGACACAAAAGGGGGTCAGACCTGGTGGACAGGGACAACCTTGGCCAGGCCTCAGTGTCCTTCAGAAATGCTCTAGTGTGCTTCACCCAGGTTTTAAACTGAAGGGGGAGAGGGGTCAGACCTCCCAGAAACTTGTAATGATGGGACAAGTGAGGGGAGAAGATCAGGGTTTTGGCTCTAGGGTATTAGGGGCACTACAGGGGCTGGTGGGACTCCTATGAAAAGGGTGTCGATAACAGGGAAGATGGGAGGAAGGAAAACACCAGAGGACCCAAGAAAAGGGATTTGTGGGAAGATGCTGAGATGCATGTATAACAATGCTAGGAGCATGGGTAATATGCAGGAAGAGCTTGAGGCTCTCCTAGGAATAGAAGGGTATGACCTCGTGGGGATCACAGAAACTTGGTGGGATGAAAGGCAAGACAAATGCAAACAGAAGGGTATCACCTGTTCAGAAAGTACAGGAAGGGAAAGGGGAGGGGGCATAGGGTTATATGTCAAAGAAGGCATAGGATGCAATGAGATGGAATGTGGCACAGATGGGGATCTGGTGGAGGCAGTCTGGGTGAAACTTGATGGGGGAAGAGACCTCTCAGTGGGGGTATGCTATCACCCACTGAGCCAACTTGAGACCTTGGATGATGTTCTGACAGACCAGATTCAAAGGATATCTTGGGAGAAGGACACAGTAATTATGGGAGATTTCAATCTCCCACATATTAGTTGGGAGATTCACTGGGTGGCAACAGCCGGGCCATGTTGCTTCCTAGCTGTTACAGAGGGAGTTTTTCACACAGACGGTTCGGGAGGCAACAAGGGGGTGGGGGGGAATATCCTTGACTTGATTTTGACCAACAGGGAGGTGCTGATAGATGGGGTGCAGGTTAGGGGAACTCTGGATGATCACTCCATCCTTTGCTTTGAGATCAGGGAATGGCAATGAGTGGCAGGTCAAGCGCTAGAAGCTGGGACTTCGCAAGGGCCAACTTTGGTCAATTGAAGGCCAGACTGGGGAAAGTCTCCTGAGAGAGGATACTGGAAGGCAAGGGAGTTGAGGAGTGGATGGCACTAAAAAAGGGAGGCCTTGAAGGTGCAAGCCTTGACAATACCTCTAGTCAGCAAGGTGGGGAGGCAAAGGAGAGCGCCACCATGGATGAGGCATTAGGCATAAAAGGAACCTCTGTAGGAAATGGGAACTGGGGCAAGTAGACAAATGGTATACTGGGAGAAGGAGGCTTGTTGCAGAAGGATTCTTCACAAGGCTAAGGCTGATTATGAACAGAGACTTGCAAAGAATGTCAGGAGCAACAAAAAGGGCTTCTATGAACATGCAAATAGCAAGAGGAAAGGGAGACAGGTGATGGGACTGCTTAATATGGAGGAAGGAGAGTTGGTGACTGATGTGAGGGAACAGGCACAGATGCTAAATTACTATTTTGCCTCTACGTTCTCCCCAAAGCAGGCTGGCAGTGTGTGAACCAGTGCAACTCAATGTACTGTTCTAAGCATTTCAGTTTCATAGAATACTAGAGTTGGGAGAGGCCATGAAGGCCATTGAGTCCAACCGCCTGCTCTTGCAAGACACCAAGTTACACCATCCCACTCAGGTGGCTGTCCAGGTTCTTTTTGAATGTCTAGTGTGGGGGACCCCATCATCTCTCTAATCAGCTGGTGCCACTGTTGTATTGCTCTGATAGCGAGGAAGCTCTTCCTGATGTCCAGCCTGAATCTGGGTTGTTGCAGCTTGACTGGATTATTCCATGTCCTATACTCTGGCATCAGCAAAAAGAGATCTTGACCTTCCTATTTGTGACAGCCTTTGAGATACTTATAGAGGGATATCATATCCCCGCTGAGTCTTCTCATTTCGACACTGAATATGTCCAGTCCCCGCATGTCAGCCTCTCCTCACAGGGCAGTGTTTCCAAACCCTGGATCATTTTTGTTGCCCTCCACTGGACCCTTCCTAATTTACCTGCATCTTTCTTAAATCTTGGTGCCCAGAACTGGACACAGTATTCCAGGTGAGGATTTAGGATTTCTTCTGTTTATTCAGCTGCTTCTGCTAATAGCTTTAGCCTTTTCTTTCCAGCTGTGATCTTATGGAGAGCTTTCAGTGTTAAATTTGTATCTACTATATGCTGAAAGCATGTAGGATAATAAGGTTACAAAATTGGGTATAATTACTGAGAGTGATATGTATTCTTTATGTCAACAGCAGCATAAATTTTGGGCTATGGGGTGGCATAGAAATGGAATTAAATAAATCAATAATAAATAATAAATTTCATATCTAAGATATTGCTAAACTCTTAAATGAAAGAGGAATCCCTTGCTTTTCCCAGAGGCTCAGTTTCACTTTTCCTGTTACATGAAACCTGTTATATTGGTATTGCTCACAAGTTCTGAGTGTTTTTATCCAGATGAATGTACAAGAGTGACAAGCCACCTCTGGTTTCAGTTGCTGCCCACTGAGCTTGTGCAGAAGGAAGACGATGTCCATGAATCATTTTTCTGGCTTCTTCACAGTCTTCTATCACAGATAAACATGCATTTTCATTATATATTGTTCTCCTCCTTATATTTTATCTTGCTATTCTTCCAAGCAGCTCACAGTGACTTATATAATCTCATGCTCCAAGCTTTTACAACTGTTTTGTTGGGTAGGTTAGAGTGAGAGATAATTAATCCTACTAATAGTGCAATCCCATACATGTCTCCTGAGACTCCCACTGGGCATTGCTGGGGGGCAGTCATTAGGGCTGGAGCCCTGAATGTTTCATTTGGAGACCTGGATGTTCAGAAGGTCATCTACCTCACTGTCCTGCTATCCATGGGCACTTGCAGAAATGAAGGTATAAAGATCCTGATGATCTTGGTGTTCCCGATTCCCCTTGGATTGACCGATATTTTCCCACATGTGTTTCACCTCCTGATGCTCTCACTCTTGATTCTTTTTCTCTGAGCTTCATTATGAAATCTATCCATACATCCCCTTTTGCAAATGTGGTAAAACACAGAGATTTCTGCATATATGTATCACAGGATGAATCTGACTGAACACACCTAAGAGCCCATTATCGGGCCTATGCTGTGGCAGTGAGGGCAGCAAAAAATAAATTCTCCGTTTCCACTGCCTCCTCAAAATGCCATCCGGCAGAGCTCTTTCGGGTAGTACAAGGGCTGGTTCAGCCTGACCCTAACAAAGATCTGGTTCCACCCTCAAAGGCCCGCTGTGACAACTTTGCCAAGCATTTCAGGGAGAAAATCACTCAGATTCATCACGAGCTGGACTCCACTAGTGATTCAGAGGCTTCTGGGGAGACACCAATGTCGCCGTCTGATCCAAAATTAAAGGATGAATTTCAGTTATTGCGGCCTGATGATGTGGACAAGGTGCTTGGACAAGTACATCCCACCACTTGCCTATTGGACCCTTGCTCATCTTGGCTAATTAACAACGCCAAGCACAGGATTGGGACCTGGATCTTGAAAGTGGTTAACGCTTCTCTGAGGGAGGGCCGGGTATCTGCCCCTTTAAAGGAGGCGGTAGTCCGACTGGTCCTGAAGAAGGTGTCACTGGATCCAGAGATGGCTACTAATTACAGACCAGTGGCCAACATCCCGTTTCTGGGCAAGGTGTTGGAGGAGCGGGTGGTGGCGGGAAAACTCCAAGCACTCTTGGAGGAAACTGATTATGTGGACCCATTTCAGTCCAGCTTCAGACCCGGGTAGGGTACTGAATCTGCCTTGGTCGCCCTGTACAATGACCTGTGCAGGGAGAAAGAAAGGGGAAGTGCGTCCCTGTTGGTTCTCCTGGACCTCTCAGTGGCTTTCGATACCATCGACCATGGTATCCTTCTGGATAGGCTGGCGGGATTGTAGGTTGGAGGCACTGCTTTGCAGTGGTTCCGCTTCTATCTCGATGGCCAATTCCAGAAGGTGGTGCTGGGGGACTATGGCTCTGCACCATGGCAGCTATGCCATGGAGTACCGCAGGGGTCCATTTTGTCCCCTTTGCTGTTTAACATCTACATGAAACCGCTGGGAGAGGTCATCAGGAGGTGTGGGCTGCGGAATCATCAGTACGCTGATGATACCCAGCTCTACCTCCCGTTTTCCACCAATCCAGGTGAGGCAGTGGCTGTGCTGAACCGGTGCCTGGCCGAGGTAATGGGCTGGATGAGGGCCAATAAACT